ATGGAAGATAACTAAGCATGGGCTGCTCCCAGTACCATCGACAGCCGAACAAGCCCCGCAGGAGTTGCTTAATAACACTGCCTGCAAATGTTCAAAGGGGTGCCGAAATGCGTGTGGTTGTAGGAAACAAGGAATGAAATGTTCTCCAATATGCTATAATTGTAGAGGAGCGTCCTGCAGCAATACACCAGATGAAATTATTGACGACACAAACTTAATGGACGACGAAGTGAAGCTATCTGATAATGATGACGAACTTGATGAGCTTCCGGATGACGAAGACCTTAAAGTGGACCAATTGATTCAGTCAGCTTCTACTTCCAAACGCAGCAAATTCAATTAACGTTAAATGTATTTAATGTATTTTTATGTGAATTATCTACATATTTAAACTTACATCAAAGCCATTTGTACTTAAACTCAATTTTTTACGTCTCAATTACACATTTACATCACAATGGCGCTTTATTTTTAACATGGCTGTTTTTTGAACCTTAATAGCGTCCATACCACTTGACCCAAATATAACTATGTGGTGTCCATTCGACGTAGAATTTCACGTACTTCCATTTATAAAAGAGTAAAATTTTCATAGAAATGCACCATTTCGGAGTAATCAGTGAAAAACTGAAAAAATACAAAAAAATGGAGGTTTTTGGGACACCCCGTATGTAGCACAAGCGGAAAATTGGTGCAAACTTTAAAAACCCCTTTTTACATGCAAATAAAGAGATTAATACCATTTCCAGCTTTCCGAGAATTATTTCGCCTACAAACCCTATGTTGCTTGGCCTATAAGGGCAGAAATAAAAAATAAAAAAAATATAGAAATTATAGATTTTTCTCGAAAAAAAATAAAAAAAATCTTAGGAGGCTATGTTTTGGTATTTAGGTATAACTTTAAATTCCAAACAACTTTTCTCTATAACATTTTGCTGAATTTTCTAAAATAAGGGTACTTTACAGTACAGCTTCGATATTGTTTGATTTGAGCTACCCTGTATGCTGTTTGAGTTGCAACCATTCTAAGTGCACCTAATATGATTATCAGACACGCACCAACTTTTGGCCTTGTTTGTATTTGGGTTGTGCTATTACTAAAAAAAATCCCCATATGTTGCACACTTAAAAAATCACACTGTATATTTTTTTCTACGACTGCTCTAGAAAGCTATTAAAAACGCACTACTAAATTACCTAGAAAATCAATGATTCCGCACAGCGTGCGAAAAGTAACTTTTCACACGCTTAAGTTTGTGAAAAGTTACTTTTCGCACGCTAAAATAAAAATGACACTTCTACTGAGTTTTTGTTTTGCAAGTAACTCTGAGTGCATTCAACCTACGTACCAAAATAGTTCGTTGATTATAACCGTAAATAATAATTTTTAACAAAAAAAAATAATTAAATCTCAATGTGAATATAGTTATTTCGCAATCGTAGAAAAAGTATGGTGTGTAGCGCGTGTGAAAAGCACTTTTCAACACTCGTGGCACAATATACTATAATTTTTTTATTTTTTTCCACGAGCGTGCGAAAAGTGCTGTTTTTCTGCACGCATTTTAGGTCATGAAAGTATCACTTTTCCGCACTAGGTGGAAAAGTAAAATAATTATGCAATGCTAGGTCACCCTGAAACTTTCATGTCCTAAAATGCATGCGGAAAAGTACTTTTCCGCACGATCGTAGAAATAGCTATTTACCTAACAAGTGCGATACGCGTCGTTCGGTGAACGGCAGGCGCGTGCGGAAAAATATTTTCTGCAAGTGTTAGGTACAATATTTTTCCTACAGGCGTGAAAATGTAGATTTTTTTTTTTTTTTGACAGCCGTGCGGTAAACATTTTACCGCACCGTACGGGAAACCTCATTTTCCGCACGGATATCAGTGCGGAAAATTGATTTTTCCGCACGGCTGTAGGAAAAATCACGTTCCTTATGGCGGGAATTATACAATGACATTTCACTAATGGAGTGGCCCTGGCCATATTCTCGAACAGTGTTTGTTTGCAGCCAACATAAGAAAGAGAGGTCCGAGAGGGATGGAGCTATTTGAGGCAAACACTCAGATTTTTATCTAAGGTCAGTAATAGGTTGTCATTCTGCCATCTTATTTTTCAATTAAATGTAGCACAGAGGGGAACCAAATTGATATTTCATTGGCCTTTTACTCAAATATAACAAAATAGTCGTATCCGGGAGTGATATTTGAAAAAAACTGTAGTAAAATCGACCGGAATTAAATTAACGTTGACACAAACGTTAAGTTGTCAACGTTCTCCAACTATACAGGGTGACCCAGTAAAGTGAGTCTGGAAATCATAAAACAACCCTTTATATATCGATGTTGGTGCGCACTGCAAGCTACAGCTTGCGTATTCTTTTAGAAATCCTGCCCTATTTCTTAAAAATAGTATTACCAAAAGGATCGCGCTGGATTATAATTGCCCGTAACTTTTTTCATTTTTGTCCGATTTAAAAAAAAAATTATGTGGACTTAAAATAAAGCCTATATCACAGGGATGTCATGAAATCTAAAAATTTACAAATAAGATGAAATTCGAGATGGCACAAAGTGATAAGAGAATAACTTTTTATTCGATCGTGGATTTTTACGAACATTAAATCCAGTTTGAAATTAATACAAGAGCCAAAAGGGTAATGTTGAGAGTAATCACCTAATCACAATTCATAAGTTCTCACAATTCCTAAAAATCGGTGTAATATGAGATACTCACACATATTCAGCGTTTGATATAGTAACAAGACTCTTTCTCTTTGACGTTGTGATTTACACGGTGTTCCATTAAAAAATAGTGGAGAATTACGATGTTGGAATAGTTATTTATGTATCAAGGGAATTATCAGGTGTTAATACCCCAGGGCAACGTTTGTGTCCCGAGGGCCTCCGGCCCGAGGGACACCAATTGCCCGTGGGTATTAACTCCTGATAATTCCCGTGGTACATAGATAATTTTATATCCTACTGAATTTACTATATTCTGTCTATTTTTATAAAGGAATAAGCCATAAATCAAATTTTCTATTTTTTGTCAAAGTGTTACCTATTCAAGGTAAAAGCGGGAGTTATGGAAATCCTTAACTCCCTTGGGAGTTATGATATCCTTAACTCCCTTCCTTAACTCCCTTGGGAGTTATGAAAATCCTTAACTCCCTTGGGAGTTAAGACCCTGTTTATGATTATCGTAACCAAGGTATTATATGGTTTTAATAGTTCAGTAGGATATAAAATATTTTTTTCAGTTGCTCTGGATAAGATTCGGAAAACTTTGCAACCAACTTGAACCAATTAAAAAAAAACTTTAGGCCAAGAGAAGTCGAATGGCACAAAAAACTCTATAATAATGATAAGTTGGTGCCTTGTTGGTGCTAGAACTTTGAACATGAGCTCCCACATTTCTAGAGTTTTTTGGTACATGGGCTACGCTCGACATGAAAACAATGTAAAGTAGGTACCTATCCATCAATTACGTTCCTTAGGTGTATTCAAGACAGTGAAAATAGGCAGTAAGTAATCACGATTTTTGGAGTGAAAAAATTATAGTTTGTTTAGGTTGTATTTCACCATTTTCCCACTATAACTTGTAGCACTACTTATCAAAAAAGTTACGAGCAAATAAAATACGGTGCGACCTTTTTGGTAACACTATTTCTAAGAATAGAGCAAGATTTCTAAAAAAATATACAGGCTTAGCCACCATGTATAGTATATTAGGCTTATCTAGACTATTTATTTGCGAAATCGAAAACAAAAATCCCGATAAATAGCTTGCAGCGTGCGCTAACATCGATTATTAAGAGGCTTGTTTCATGATATTTGGACCCGCTTTACTGGGTCACCCTATATACTTAGAGATTTGGTGCACCGATGAAAAATGCTTATTTTTACTAGTACTACAACATACCAAATTTTTTAAAAAATTAACCGGTCCCCGAAAACTCATAAGATGTGTGCGATGTCCTTTTAAAAAATACATCATAACTTTATGCCCTAGTGCCTAAAGTTACTTACTTCACAACCACAATTCAGGGGTAAGACCTAGGGTAGGTATTAGTAAATATCAAATTTTCAATGCAAAAAAAAGCAGCAAAGGCTTTTATAATATCAAATTTTATATTTGTGAGTATTTAGGCATTTTTGCAAAGAAACTAATACATTATCAATTTATTGAACAATTTTATGTCTTTTGAAGAGTACGTAAAGTATGTACTTTACGCACGCTAGTAGACAAATTATTTTTTTATTATATGGGCTAGGTACCCTGCTATATCTATAAATTTCTTTAAGAGTGCTTGAATTTTGTAAGCAAAAAAACTAAAAGCAATCAGCTCTCAATTTTTTGAAGTGACATATTTTAAACTACTTTTATGAAAAAATAATTATTTTGAAGTCTAGAGTATTTCCATTTAGATTCCACCTTTGCGCTTTGAACCCACAATATCGAAACAAATTTTTAAAAAGAATAAATAATTTAGGTAGGTACCATTGGATATAACGAGTAAATTATCGAAACGATATATTATATTCTAAGAAAAAAACAATGTTTGTGATCTAGAAAATATGAATTGATCAAGTTTTCTTAATGCACTTAGAAAACGCCCATAAAAACTGAAAATGCAATAGTTTAATTATATTAAACAAAATTCTGTAACATAATTTGATCACTTATAACTCAAAGCACCAAGTCTAAGTACTAGGCAATCACCGACTGACTTAACAAATCCGACAATTTTCAAACAATCAGTTAATACTGGGCTGGTACAAGCCGGAAAATTAAAAATAGAGTAGGCGAACATCGCTGCAGGCGCCAAACTACCTAATAGCGAATGGTATGGAATGGTCGAATATGCAACCATGTGCAACCCATTTTTTTTTCAAAACCCTCCACCGTAATTGTTATACATTTTACCATTCGGGCCCAACTATAGCCCCCCAATAGACCAGATTTAGTATATAAGCACACGGGAGACCTCTCCTTAGCATCATTTCTTGCAGTTTGGTCGGTTAATCTACACACACAAACAAATCCGCCATGAAAGTTTTGGTGAGTTCTACATTCGTGATTTTTTTCTGTTTTACTTTGTTGGATAATTTGTGTTTTCGTGAGAGTTTTGGTTTTGGACCTGGTTGGATTGGGTTCCCCCGATTTTTGAAAATTGATTTAATTTTTTTTTTTTTCGGAATTTGGGTACCTCAACCAATGGGTTCAAAATTAAAATTGAATGGTAAAATTGCAGTAAATTTTTATGAAATTCTTAAATTATTTTTCTTCATTTGAAGGTGAATTTTTTCAAAAATTGTTATCAAATGTTCTACCGAGTTTTTTTTTCCATTAAATTCAATACTAAATTTGAAGCATAGGTATTGGCCTACATACATTTATGAAATTTAATATGTATTTATATTACAAAATAATAATTCAAATCTAATTACCTGATTCGCAGTTACCAATTCCTGCATAAAATATGTGTTAAGCATGTCTATAAATGGGCTCTAATTTAATTCAGAATAATATTTGTAAATTTAATGTCCAATGTCTTTGCCACAGGAAAATTTATTGCCATAACAAATCACAATTGTACTAAACAGGGTTTAGGAGTTAATTGATAAATTCTTGATTTTTGTTCCAGGCCGTAGCAATCTTAGCTACCGTAGCTACCCTTAGCTCCGCATATCCCGGAGGACACGGTGCCATCGCTTATATCGGAGGCCACGGCGGATACGGTAAGTTGGAATAAGTTTGAATGATGAATTGGTTATAGTTAATGTTTTCCGAGCCAAGGTCTGTTAATATTACGACCTGGGTCCTTATTCTTGAGCAACGTTCCCAGGAGAACGAGTGTTCCGTCTTTGTTACTTATTATCATTTCCATATCATTGAGAAAGACGGAGCACTAGTTCTGCTGGGAACGGTGCTCTCCTGTTTCAAGAATAAGGACCCTGATGTTTTGCCTATAGCTGTGGTGGGCATTCAAAAATGGCGGAAAACGTTTTATTTCAGTGAGCGCCCGAATGTTAAAGCCTAAAAAGCGATACAGTAACTGATAAAAATATCCTATTTCCAACTTTTTGATGAAGAAATTAACCAACCCACTCTTTTGTTAAAAAAATATCTTCAAATTCATGTTGATTTATAGTGTCCTGATAAATGGCTTTCTGGATTTAACGTAGGTTATGGGACTTGGCAGGTTATGAGACCCATTTCAATAGTTCGTTTGTAAGTTTTAGGGTTTGAAAAAGTACTAATAGATGTACGAAACATTACCAAGTGAAAATTGAGTTTTTCTTTGTGCCAAGTCCTACAACCTACGTTAAATCCAGAAAATATCTTCAAGTGTTTCTCATTGCGATACAAGAAAATCAAATAGGTTATATTTTTTCTCGTACGTCATTTTGTTTAGAAACAATTTTAAAATAGTTCTATCAAGCCAAGACACTTAAATGTATAAATATATTTCTTTAAATTAGAAAGGAAAATTCATCTTATCTTCAAATTTAACAAAGTACCAACGACGATTTCTAAATTTTTATTGTTATAGGCGCAGGAATACCTAATAGTTTCCATTCATTGCTCATATCATGTTTATTTATATTATTCTTAACCATCAAAAATATCGTTAAACTAAAGTGAAAATATCATAGTAATTAAAGACAAATAAAAGAAAATGAGTTAACGAATTATATCAAATTATACTTCATACCACTTTAAAACCGTTGCATCTACCATCTTATAATGGTGAATATAGCATTTTGCCATATGGCAAAACTGGTAAGTACTCGCGTGCGTTTTCTACATAGTGTCGCAATTAATTTCTGTTCTAGTTACTTCACTAATAATAGTGTATTTTGTCAAAACTCGTTTTTAATTAAACGTATATAAGAAATTACAGCAATATCCGCCGTCGGATCTTGCTCAACACTACCGATGGCGATTTTGCTTTTAATAAATGGTTATTAGATTGCACATACAGGAAATGTTATCGTTAAATATCAATCTTCCAAGGGCTTTCGATACCGTATATTAATTAAATTAATTTAAAAAAAAAAATTGAAAGTTTATTGTAATTAAATTTATTTGAACAAGAGATTTCACATTAGCTTTTTATAGAAGAGAAAAAATTTAGATATGGGTATAGGCTATTCATTGACTGTAACTGGATATCGTGTTCGTTTATCTCTATGCATTTGAACTAGTAGAAAGTACGGCTAGTGCAGGCGGATTTGTTGATCGTGATGTAGTGCGATAGGTCACATAATCTAATTTGTATATCTACTACTAAGATTTTCTTTTTCTCTCTTAACCTTATTAATTTCAATCGACCACTATCTATCTTCACATGCTTTTATTGTAAATAATTATCTTTTCTTTGATTATATAGATGGCGGATGTGACGGACACGGAGGAGGTGCCGGAGGTGGATGCGGGGGTGGATTAGGTCTTGGAGGTCTTGGCGGCGGCCTCGGTGGTGGACTCGGCGGTGGATTTGCCGTCGGTGGCAATGGAGGTGGATACTATGGAAGTGAAGCTGCTGGTCCAACCTACGTTCAAGTAAGTATCCAAAAATAATTGTACATTATTTATCTAAAAATTTACTCCTTGTGATGATTACACATTCAATTCTATTTTCCAGGGTCCTGCTGCTGGTAGTAAGACCCTCTTGGGACCCGTTGAAGGACCAAACAACATTCAAGGAGCTTCCAATGGACCCACCAACCTTGCCGGACCCCAACAAGGACCTGCCAGCATTGTAGGACCCAGCCAAGGTAATTATTACTTAGAATTTCCAAAATATTCATTTAAATTATCTCAACATCATATTATAAAATCCAAAGCAAAGAAAATTTAATCTCTCCACAATTTTTTTTCGCCAAATTATCACCAGACAGAGAATTTTAAACTAGTTTTAATCTTATTTAGTTCTTCGCCTTTCAAAGCTACAATAATTGACCATTAAGTCACTTATATGGAGCAAAAGAATTCTTGTAACTTTCAATTTTATCGTTTTCTATAGACATTATTTAGATGTGTTGTGCTTTTGATTTCTATAGGAGTAATTATTACCTACTATCTTAAGAAAGGTTTCGTTAGTGATGAAATAATTTTTTTTCTTATATTATGCTCAAGCTGTTCCAGTTTTAATTTTAATTGGACTATTTCAACATACATTATTTCACAAAAAAATATCTCTTTTTTTTTAAATATATAATTCTATTTATATTTCAGGAACCGCTAGCGTAATTGGACCCACCAACGGAGGTGCTCATATTGTAGGAGCTGCCCAAGCACCAATCACCTATTCCGAAGGTATCGCTGTAGCCACCGGAGGATTGGGAGGTGCTGGAGGTTTGGGAGGTAAGAATCACATTGTTTTGAGGCTTGAAGCATGAAAAAATAGTCTGAGAATGCGTCTTTGAAAAGCAGTTTAAATCCAAGAAAACATTTTGCTTGGCGTCTTTACTAATACTTTGTGTTTTAGGTGGATTAGGAGGTGGATACGGAGGCGGACACGGTATCGTTCTTGGTGGATACGGCGGTCACGGAGGATACGGAGGTAAACACTAGGTTCGTTCATTTCATCATGTTTTTATTGGTGCGGGAACCAACACCAGACAATTTGAAACTCAAACATTCTTACTCTAAAAAAAAAAAAAAAAAATTAACAACATAACACTCAACTACAATGAACCTATACTAAACCATCCATTATTAACTTGCTTATAAGATAAGATACCTACTAATGTATCATCAATTATTATTCGCACTTGCTCTTTCCACGATTGTTAGCTGTGTAGCTAACTTTAATATTTTATTTCAGGTTCCTCAGCAGGTCACATTAGCTACGATGGAGGAATACTCAAAGGCCCTGTTACCGTACCCGTTGTCATCAAAGGTTCATCTGGCAAAATCGTAGCTGACGGTCTTTACGGACTTCCTGGTGGACATCACTACTAAACCGACCATAGGCAAACCAATTCTTTCAGTATTACGACTTTTACTTATTCTTTGTTAGTCCTTATTACCTAAGATCGTCACAACACATCTTATTTTTATCATTTTTCATTTTTTTCATGTTTCATGCTCAAAAAGGTTCGATTGTAGGCCCGATGCGCTGTTTTAGGCGCTGGCAGGCAGTTCAAACTGAACATTTTTTGAGCATTACCTGTGATTTTTTTTTCATTATGTACGAGCTTGGTGTTATTTCATCATGTTATTTAATATGTATAGTTTTTATGTTTTTTTTATTTTTTACTTGTACAAATGTATATGCGTTAATAAATGACTCTTTTTAAAAAAACAAATATTTGGTTTTCAATTCAAAATCAATTTGGATGGATACTTTTATGAAACAATAAATAAGTGAAATCAAACTATGATCGGAAAGCTTCAAGTAGTTGAAAATCATATTTAAAAAAATCTTGTAATTTGCCTATTTGATCAGGATTCAGTTATTGAACTGAGTTTTTCTATATTTTGTTATGTAAGCAGCTACTTTTATCTTGATTTTGATGTAAAATGAAAAATGTAACATGTAGATAGAAAAATATACACATTCATGAAATAATGGGAATCATAATTTCAAATAGGTTCATTTAGCACCTATCTATTATGTGTGATATATCTGTAACTTGAAGATATAGATTTTTAGTGGTGCCGCGAGACGAGACTAGACGAGACTTAGGGTTGGTCTCGTCTCGTCTCGACATCTCGAGACGAGACCGTGATTTAGTCTCGGTCTCGAGTACCAAAGTCTCGTCTCGTCTCGAGTGGTCTCGTCTGGTCTAGAGTTATGCAGGGTGTTTAAAAAATAGCGTTAAAACTCTTCTCTACGTGGTGGAGGACTCTACAAGGAACCCCAGGAAAATACTTTGAAAAATCTAGTGGAATTCTTAAGAAAGTTATTTTTTTTTTTTGAAAATCATTTATTTCAACAAATACATAAATACAATATTATTAAACATTTCTCAAATCAGTATTTAAAATACTGGTAACGAGAAAAACAAGCTAATTCACTTAAGTTATTTAACAGTGGTGTATCAGAATATTGAATAATTCACCTCTCTCAAATCCTAGAGCTTAACTCAATATTAAACCTAGACAACACTAACATATACCCAAAAACATCATATATATATATATATATATATATATATATATATATATATATATATATATATATATATATATATAGTACAATGGTCGAAATTTGATCGTGGTACTATGTATATATCGCCTACAGGCACGAAACTTGGTTTGGTTTTCTTTGCTTTTCCTAGCCATACTGATGAGACCTGATAGGTCGAAACGCGTCTATGGATGGAAAAGCATAGAAAATCAAACCAAATATTTTCTTATATATATATATATATATATATATATATATATATATATATATATATATATATATATATATATACAAAATCCTATCATTGCTGCGTCCATAAACTTCCTCAACACATACACTGTTGCTTCCTTCGAATTACTGCGTCCGAATATCGGACGCAACAATGTCAACTCATATTTTTGCGAGTTCCCGTCTATTTTTAAACAAAATTTAGGCGCGAACAGGTGGTAAAAGTTTCTAAGTTTCCTTTCCACAATAAAAAGTGGACGCATCTATTGAGATTCTTATGATTTTACTGGATTTTCTGTTTGGTAGTGGACGCAATAATATTCGTGTTATAGATAAAAATGTATACTATTAGTTCATCGATTCTCCGGTAGAGGTGCGAAAATAATATACAGAGTTAAGTATACAGTAAATAAACCTAGTATGTTATTGCGTCCGAAGCTTGGCAACATGGCAATCTATTTTTAGCTCGGGATTTTTGTATGGTGTGATGTTTTGTATCGTGTCATCATTTTAGCAGAAGCCAAAGCCATTGTTGCTTCCAGTCAGCAAATATGAAACGCAGTGAGAATATTAGGTTTATGCCACAGAGGACCCAGAGAGTCATAATAATATACAACTTTTCTAACAATAATAGTGTGGGTGCTGGATGGAGTTCGAGAGGTCATAGCTTCTTTGAAAATATTATGCCCTAAAACACTTGCTATGATTTGTATTTAATTTTTACGTTTTGATGAAATATTGAAATATTAGTATCAAATAGGTTGCATTTTAATATCTTTGTAATACAGGGTGTCCTTGGATAAACTGACACATTTTGCAGGTAAATATCTCGAAAACGGGAAAAGATAACGAGATGCGGTTTGTTCTGTGAGAACAGGGATTTTTCAAAGTTTTTTTCCACATTATTTCCGAATCCTGAAATTTGCTGAAATTTGGTTTTACAGACATGCGATTTTTTGAAATAAAATAACTGCCTTATTTTTAATGAAACACCCCGTATCTTTTATCATCGTCAGAAATGCTGATTTTTCTACTTTACAAAAATGTATAATTTTTTTCAATTATCTTAAACTTACATCGTGAAAATTGATTCTTATCATTTTTTTTTTGTCCAGTCGACAGTACGCCCTTCAACCAAGTGCAATTTTTACGATTTAATTTCATTTATCTTTTCTCGTTTTCGAGATATTCATCTCTAAAATGTGTCAGTTTATCTATAGTATTTCTACAATTTTTTTTTCTTCATATACTTATATCGCTGGCATCAGTGAACTTCAACGCAAATATTGAATTTCTAAACTCAAAAACAATTGAATGAAGCCGCGTATAATAGCTGGGTTCGGTAATTGCATCTGCGAGCGAAGTGAGCAAAATTTGACAGACGTCACGTGATCACTTATCTCTTTTCGCGTGTCAATTACCGAACCCAGCTATTATACACGGCTTCATTCAATTGTTTTTGAGTTTAGAAATTCAATATTTGTGCTAAAGTTCACTGATGCCAGCGATATAAGTAAATGAAGAAAAAAAAACTATAGAAATACTATTACTGAGATTTAAAAATGCATACTATTTGATAGTGATATTTGAATATTTCATCAAAAATTACAAATTAAATACAAAACCTAGCAGGTGTTTTAGGGCGTAAAAAACAATAAACAATATAAACAGCAAATTATACAGCTTCAAAGCTATAAATGATAAATTTTTAAACCAAAAATAAATGAAAGAATTTGAAAAAAAAATGCTAATGCTAAATTCACCAATATAAGCATTACATTCAAACTAACATTTATCTAGCTGAATGGGTCACTGAATGTCCCTTTAAACAAATTCCAGCTTTAAATTTGGCGTGGCATATGTTGCATTTAAAACTCCTCCCATTTGAGTGTGTTAATAAATGACTCTTCAAATTGTATTTAAGTCTAAATTTTACGGTGCAAGTGTTACATTCAAATAGATAAATATCCGAATGTGTTAGTTTGTGAATCTTCCAATCGCTTTTCCGTTTAAATTTTGATTTGCAAGTGTCACATTCAAAAGGATAAATATCAGAATGTGTTAATTTGTGTCTATTTAAACTTTCTGTTTGAATTTTGCATTGCAAGTGTCACATTCGAATGGATAAATATCCGACTGTGTTAGTTTGTGAATCTTTAAGCGCCGAATTTATAGTCGTTCCTCGAATCTTCCTTGGAGTCGCGAATTTAGAATGGACACTTGCCACTATTTGACAAGTCAGTCATGTCAACTCTAAACGTTCAAGGCTTTCTTAAGGTCTGAGGAAACCTCAAGGACCTACAATAAATTCGGCCCTAAATCGACTTTCTGTTTAAATTTTGATTTGCTTTTTCATATTCAAAAGGATAAATATCCGAGTGTATTGATACGTGCCTTTGCAAATTACCTTTTTCTTTAAATTTTGCATTGCAAATATCACATTCAAAAGGATAAATATCAGAATGTGTTAGTTTGTGTCTCTTCAAATAATCTTTTCCTTTAAATTTTGCTTTGCAAATGTCACATTTAAAAAGATAAATATCCGAGTGTGTTGAAATGTGCCTCTGCAAATTACCTTTTTGTTTAAATTTTGCATTGCAAGTGTCACATTCAAAAGGATAAATATCCGAGTATGTTGATACGTGTTTTTGCAAATTATATGGTATGCTGGGTTCGGTAATTGCATCTGCGAGCGAAGTGAGCAAAATTTGACAGATGTCATGTGATTTGACACGTGAAAAGGGATAAGTGATCACGTGACGTCTGTCAAAATTTGCTCATTTCGCTCGCAGATGCAATTACCGAACCCAGCATACCATATAATTTGCAAAGACACGTATCAACACACTCGGGATATTTATCCTTTTGAATGTGGCACTTGCAAATCAAAATTCAAATGGAAACGCGTTTTAAAGATTCACAAACTAACACATTCGGATATTTATCTTTTTGAATGTGACACTTGCAATGCAAAATTTAAACAAAAAGGTAATTTGCAGAGGCATATTTCAACACACTCGGATATTTATCTTTTTAAATGTGAATTTGCAATGCAAAATTTAAAGAAAAAGGTAAATGGCAAAGGCACGTATTAACATACTCGGATATTTATCCTTTCGAATGTGACAGATGCAAATGAAAATTTAAACGGAAAGGCGATTTAAAGATTCACAAACTAACATATGCTCTTGTGAATTTTAGAGTTGTGAGAGGATAGCTCTAATACTGGTGTTGCTTGCATCTGAGTGCAAAATCAACATGTCTTCTGATCGGGATAGGACAACACTCGACTTGTACATAATGCTCGTTTTAATTTTCTACATATGGAATCGTATTCTTGAGTTCAATTGAATGTTGACTTTTCTTTCGTTAATCGATGAAGCGGAGCAGCTGTATTAGGGAATCCTTCTACAAATCTTCGATGATAAGAACACAATCCTAGAAAACTCCTCAGTTCATGTTTGTCGCGTGGTTTTGGCCCATCTCTGACAGTATCTATCACTCCTTTCATAACTTGTATGCCAACTTCAGATACCACGTGACCTGAGAGTTCCACTTTCTTTTGAAATAGAAAACACTTCTTTGGATTGAGTTTTTAAGTTGGCATTCTGGAAGCGGTCAAAAACTTGTTTCAGGTTATTGAGATGTTCTTGGAATGAATTTCCCATGATCAGACATCATCCAAATATACCAGGCAAGTTCTCCATGTAATAAATTTCTTAACCAAAAATAAATGGAAGCATTTGAAAAAAATGCTTATGCTAAAGTCACCAATATAAGCATTACATTCAAACTTACATTTATCCAGCTGAATGGGTCACTGAATGTCACTTTAAACAAATTCTCATTTGAGTGTGTTAATAAATGACTCTTTAAATTGTATTTAATTTTTTAAATTTTTCAGTGCAAGTGTTACATTCAAATAGATAAATATCCGAATGTGTTAGTTT